ATAGAGAGCCAGCGGCGGGCAATGGAATTAAGTAAGAAGAAATAAAATCTATGACAGGTAATTATTCTAAACAAGTTTACGAATTAATTGGAGTTAAAGTATTAGAAAAGACATCAGACAAGACAGGAGCGGGTAAACATGCGGGCGATACTTTTTATGGGTTAAATATCACTTGCGAAAATCGGCCCGAGGTTAAACAGGTCAAAGTTTTTAAAGATAAGGTTGGGACTTATGGCGGTGTTTCGCAAGAAGAAATCTGAAATGCGGTTGTTAATTCGGACTATGCGGACAAGCGTTATATTTTTTATTGCCATCGCAAGGACATTATACATTATGCTCTGGTTGGCTGAAAAGAATTGGAAATAAAATGGTAGAAAGTAAAAACAATACTTCCCAAAGGTTAACAGATAAAGAAATAGAGCATTATCACAGTTTAATAACAATTAAATCGATTTTTGATGATAAGAAGGGGGGGGGGGGGGGTTTCTTGGATGGTCTGCTGTAAAAAATGCGGGGGCCTGCTCTTCCCTTATAATAAAGCCATGGAAAAGAAACATGTTGATAATGCTCTAAACGGGCATCCCTGCCAGCCTTACATAACGCTTAAAGAAAAATAAGAATGGTAGAAATTAATATTGATTTGGAAAATACGAAAGAAGAGCCAGTTGATAAAGAAAAGGTCAGGGGCTTCGTATGGCATAATTACAAAATGAAGTATGCGAAAGATAAGCGGGGATTTTGGCTAATAGTTAATTATCGTAAACAGAAATATTTCGGCTTCATTGATGAAAAACTACTCGGGCAAGTTATCCAAAACAATAAGACAGCGGAGACAATGGAAGCGGTTATTGATAACTTAACAGAAAGAATATTAAAAAAACATGGTAGATCGTAAATATTCAAATAGTCAATCGCAAGCAAATTATTTAGAAAATATGTCGCTGTTGATTTGGCAAAATCACATAATTAAGTTAGATAAAAAGAAGAATGTTTTTATTGTTGGCATAGAAATGGAGGGCATTCCTTATTTTAGAGAAGTTGAAATCGGGCAATTTAGAGCATGGTTGGCGGATGCGGTGCCTCCTATTCATGGATTTTTTTATGATAAGATGGAGGGGATTATCAAAGAATTAGCAGCGGAGGTTATTAAATGAAGAGAAGAAAGAGACAGTCAACAATATAAAGATTGATATTTACGGAGTAGAAAAGTATAAAAATAATGGAAGTAAATAATAGAATACTTGAATTAAAGAAAAGAGTTCAGCGAGTAATTGATTATTGGCAAGGTCAGAAGTCTTTCGCGGTTGATATTCACAAAGGACTATTTAAGAAGTTAGACAATTTAAGAGAATTAGAAGCAATTGAAAATATGCCAGCCTATATTTTAAATGCCTATATCATTTACAAGCGGGCTTTTTATAGCAATTGGCAAGAGGAACATTTAAAGGTTAATCAATTTGACAGGGATGGTTATTTAGCAAAATTGGAGTTTGAAATTGAAATCTTGGAGAAAGATAGTTTGAAGGACTTCATGAATGAATTAGATAGAAGAATTGAGGAAGGGCAAATTAAGCCTATCCAAATTATAGAAATATTAAGAAAATACAATGGAAATAAGTAATAAATTCGAAATAAATATTGAATTAGAGCAATTGTTCTTTTGAAAAGATAATATAAGGACTGAATGCCTTAACAAGGGAGACGGGCAATATAATTATCAAAAGTTTTTTCAATTAGACCAAGAGCATAAAGACCACTGAATAAATTATGCGGTCAAAAGTTCAGGGGGTAAAGTATGGGTTGATTTTTGATATAAGAGGAGAATCGGCCAAGAACAATATATCAACTATAAAAAGCGAGTTGAAAAGTTGGCGAATGTTGTAGAGGTAGAGTTTGATTATTTGGATGAAATGATAAAAATAACGGACATGGCACTTTTACCAGAAAAAAGTAAAGAAAGAGGTTATAAATGGGTGAATAAGGTTAAATGGGACATGGAAAGAGCCAAAAAGTAAAGATGAAATGCGAGCCAAGGAAGAAATAATTGTCTTTGATTTGGTAAATGGTAAAAATGTTGAAGATGGAGGGCTGGGAGTAGGTTATGGCGATTTTAGTTATAATTTATTTCAGCCAGAAAAGAAAGGACAAGGGGAAAGAATAAACGAAATACTTTTATACATTAAGCACAAAATCTTAATGGCTATAATGGCTAATAAAGGAGTATTGATAATAATTCAGTTGGGGTTCTGATGATGATGGAAATGAAAAGAAGAAAGGAGATTAAAAGAATTAACCACTATTAATAACGGGTTAGGGTGAAAGAGTTTCAGCGAAGAGCAAAAGAAAAAATGAATTAGATGGAATAAAGAACTTAATATTATTGCTGAAAGACTTATTAAATGGTTAACTGAAAATGGTTATAGATGGATTTATGTTGTAGGTAGGAAAATTAAAGAGTTTAAAAGGACTTATCCTATTAAAATAAAAGAAATTTTAAATAGAAATATAAAAGATGTTGTTCTTCTTATCTTAATGTATTGAAAAGGACTTTTAAAGGGCTTTGAAGAAGTAAGGAAAAGGTTAAGCAAAAATTATTATTGGGACAATTACCATAAGATTAACATAATGAAATTAATCGCAAAAATAGTTTATATGTTGTTAATGAATATAAATAATTGCTTACTTTATGGGGCAAGGTTCCTTAATACTTCTAATTTGGTTATACTTAATGAATATAAATTAATTGCGATTGTCTAATGAAGTATAAAATATACTTTCCTAATGATGGGGATTGCCTATGGTTGGACTGTATAAAAAAGGGCTATGAAGTAAATAACGGCTATTGCTACGTTCACAGAGTTCAAGGGAAAGAATTAGGGGAATTAAGACAATGTTCTTTTTTTGATAAGAAAGGGTTTTGTATGATTGCTACGACTGAAAAGTTTAAGGATAGGTTTTATTGTTCTAGTCATCATAAATTATTAATTGAATATGATAAAGAAATTAAAGAGCAAATAAAAATATTGAATGAGGAAGAAAAAAAGGGAAAAATGATTGAATTGGTTGGAGTATTAGAGAGTTATATTTCAAGTAAAAAGTAAAAGAAAAAAATAAATTATATTCTTGTTCCAACTATTTTATTGTTCCAACCAAGCAATAAAATTATTTCTCGTTGTCGCTCTCCTTAACTTCACAATCTCGATCGGTCGGTTCCTTTTCTTGCTCTTTAATTTCTTGGTTGATGTCTCTATCTGCCTCGGGGTCGGGTTCTCGCTCACGCTCTTCAATTTCGGGTTCATCATCACCACTTTCACCACATTCGGGGGTTGATTCAATGTCGTTGGGTTCTTCTTCGGGCGGTTCCTCAATGTTAAGAAAAAAAGAGGGCAAGGGTTCATTTATCTCTATGGGCGGCGATAATTCTTCCTTTTTGCTTAAATATTGGTAGTTTTTTTTTCAGTTCTTCGTAATTGTTCGGGGTTGCTTGTTGTTCCTTACTATATTTAAATGGGTCAATATCTTCCACGGCTACAATTTGGCCTTCACTATTCAATAAGTATTCTTTTCAATGGCCTTTAATATCTCGTTGAAGTTGTATTTGTCAGCCTTTTTTTAATTTTCTAGGGTCTAGCATATTAAGTTAATTTTTGCTTGATTTTGCGTAGCATTTACAGCACCATTTTTTTAATTGCTGGTAGCAATCATTAAAAAGGTGTCGGTGTCCTACTTTTTTATCACATCTCTCGCAGTTGTAATAATTTAGTCCGTTTTCTGTTTCCATCTCAACTTAGACAATGGGCGGCGGTTAATCGCTCTTTTTATCCGCTTTTAATGCTCTCTTTTGTCTTTTATTGTATAATGTTAAGATTTTTATTTTTCCTTCTACCATAATTCTTAAATATTCTATCACGACAGCCATTCCAATATTTAACGCAAATATAAGAGTTGGGGATAATATTGCCAATTAGATCCGTGTTAGATTTTAGTTTCGTTTTCGTTGATTGGCACTTCTCGCACTTCTTCTTTATTAATTGGTTCATGGCTGATTAATTCTTGTCGGTCAGAGTTGGAGAGTTCAGAGGTTCCATTTCTGCTCTCTCTCTCTCTCTCTCTCTCTCTCTCTCTCTCTGCTTGTAGGTTTTCGTTATGTTCTTTTAAATCTCCCAGCGTTAAGTCAACACCAATAAAATCACGGCCTAAATCTTGGCAAGCATCCAAGACAATAAAACTGCCAGCACACGGATCAACAATTAAATCTCCTGCTTGGGTTGTCGCATTTATTAAAGTTCTAATTAGATAAAACGGCTTTTGATGCGGATGTTTCCTTCGCTGGGTTGATAAACTCTCTTCTTTTCAAACATTAGGGAAAGATTTGTCGGTGAACTTTCTACTTGTCTGCGGGTTTTTCTGTAATAACCACGCAAACTCTCCGCTACTTCTAAAATAACTTCCCAGGCCAATTTTATTTTTATTTCAGACTAGGAAATCAACCATTTTCAGTCGGGTAGTTCTTAATAACCAAGACTGAACTCTATCCAGTTTTAATATTTCCTTACTAATTCACAATAAACAAAATCCACTCGGCTTTAATATTCGTTCAATTTGTTTAATAATTTCGGTGATTTGGTTTTCTGATTGGTAATGTAGCGGTCAATCTTTCACACGGCTCACATCTCCAACTTTTTCATATTGCGGATCAAAAAACGCTAATGCGACACTTTTATCAGGGAGAGATTGAAGGAATTCCAACGCTTCTCCTTCTTGTTTCGCATTCTTTAAATACTCTTTGCCATTCATTATTTTTTTTAAAATATTATTATATTAGCATATATAATATATTTTAGTGTTTTAGAAGAACATCGGGCCATTTTTGGGGGTCAATATGGACTAATGCTCGGAGAAATAAGGGAAAAAGGTCGGGCCACTTTCTAACTTTTATCCTCTTTTTTAAACCTTACATAGATAACCATTAAAATACTATTATAGATTATAGGATGAAAGATAAACACAAAATAAGAAATTCCTATCCTTGTGATTTGGTAATTAACAATTGAAAGTTAACTAGTTTAGAAATTAGCCAGTATTATAAAACCAAAAAAGGACGAGAGATGATTAATGATGAAATGATTATAAAAATGGTTGAGAAATTAAATGATGGAAAACTTACTCCTGATATCAAAAAAAGACCAAGCAATTGAGATTATTTTACTTTAAAAATAAAAAGAAGTGTTGGTTATGAGAACAGGTTTTATCGTTTAATCTGTTGCCATGAAAATAATTCCCTAGTTTGGGGAGTATTAAACATTTATCCTATTACAGTTAAAAGTTATGACAAATAAATTAAAGCCCAAAGTAATTAATAATAATAATTGACCATCAGACAAAGAAATAGAAGAAGTTATTAAGGAAACTTCCCAGCCTGATTATCCTTATGTAAATTATATCTTGCCTGATGATGCTAGTTCAGCCGAAAGAATTAAATATGGTCTGTGTCAAAATATAATAAAATATCACCAGGAAAATAATCTTTCTGAAACTAAATTAACTAAAATTCTCGGAGTTAATAAGGAAAAATTAATCGATATTTTATTCAGTAAAGTTTACAATTTAAACTTGGAAGAGTTATTAACTTACACGGACAACCTACATATCCCTTTTGAAATCAAAATTACTAATAATCAATTAAACAATGGTAAAAGAATAAGAGTTTAATACTCCAATCCTTCAATAATTTTTCTTTTTCCTAAAAATGTTTCCATCCTTTCTTTGGCATTCATATCAGCAAAAAAGAGCATGTCAGTCTCATAATGCCTTAATAATGATTGTTGAAATACTCGGCCCGCCTCTCCTCGGCGGTCTCACTTGGCTAATTGCTTACTTCTTAATCGCTGTTCGTCATTGACATAGATTTCGGGCAAATCTCTTAATAATTGCCTATCTCGGGCACTTACTTCTTTACTATTAATATCTATGTAATAGAAATAATTTTGTTTAGAGATGTATTGAATACAATTATTAAATACATGAATGGGTTGGGCTCCGTTTTTATGTTCGACAATTTTCAAGTCTTCCATTCGCTCGAAGAAATTATCTCAATTGCCTTCCTCGTAATTGTCGAAGTCTTCTTTACTGGTCGCTATTTTCTGTAATTGGAGGGTTTTATTGCCTTTTTTAAGTTCTTTTATTCAAGTCCAGTTCAATCATTTTTCCAAGGTCTTCGGTCTATTTTTCCAGTATCATTTAGACAATGTCTCTAACTCCTTTTTAAAATGTTGGACTAAAAATCAACAAGAATAAAAACTGTCGTTGGGATTTCCAGTAAAGATTTTTTTAGGTTTAGTTCCACGGCCTAAACTTTTCATAAGTTCCATGTAGTCGCTTGCCTCATTCATTTCTCATCCTTTTCCTTTTAATATTTGCTTACGGGTTGGCACGCACTCATCAAATACGGCTATTTTTACAGGTTGATTAATCAGGGTTCGGGCTTGGTCGCTCGCAAATAAGGAGAAAAAATGGCATCTTAACTCTCCTGCCTTATCTTTTACACTCTTTTTATAACTAACTCCTTTATAAGTTGATAATCACAATAAGCCTCATTGGCTTTTATCTTTTAGCGGTCTTTCTCCTTGCCAAATTACGCTATCAAACTCACTAATAATTTTTTTAAAATATTCCTTGGTCTGCCTGGTCGGTTCTTCTCAATTTCGCATAATAAACGAATATTCGCCTATTGCGGACATGGCTATATTATACAAAACAATAATAGCATCATTTTTAGATTTACAAGAGCCTCGGTCATGAATTATAAAGGTTCATTCGCTATCATCGTTAAACAATCGCCAAAAGTTTCTAAATTGCTTACGAAATCATTCCTTATCAGGTTTAATATCAGGGGGACAGTCAACAATATTTAATTCTTCGGGTATCTCTATGCGGTTATTTAACTCTTCGCTGTTGATTTCAATTACTTTTTGGGAAGTTTCCTTTAAACTTTCATTCGTTTTTTTATTGTTGTTAGTAAAATATAAGGATGGTTGATAATTGCTTACTTTTTGGGAAGTATTTTTATTTATACTTTCCCTTGCTTTTTCCTTGTTGGCTTCTAATTCAATAAAACTTTCTTCTTGTTGGTCGGGGTCGGCGGGGTCGTAGCAATTCTCACAAGCCAATTTATTATTTCTAGTTGCGACCATCTCTTCTTCTCCAACGGCTTTTTTACAGAAGGAGCAAATTAATCCATCAAACGCATTAACTCCTTGCGGGTTTTCTTGTTCTTTAAGTTCTTGGTTAGTCATTAATTTATTTATCGGCCATATTTTCTCTCTAATATTGGGTAAACATCTGAACGCTTGACTACTTCTAGGACTGTAATTAATAATTTTTGTTGAAGTATCTTATAAGCAACTCGATATTTGCCATGGCAACGATATCTATATAAGCCTTTTAATTCTCCTTGGAGAGCCTTGACATTTTTATTTGTCGGGGAAGGATAAGGATCTTTGACTAGTTCATTTTCTACTTTTCATCTAATTTTCCTTTCTGTTGGCTTATCAAGTTTACTCAGACTTTTTAAAGCATTGTCCGTTCACTCTACCTCATAAACTTCTTGGCCTCTTCGTTCCATTTATACATTTTTGGCTCTTAACTCCTCCAATCTTTTATCTACTTCTTTTCCTCTGTATGTTTTACCATTGCTTTTTAAACTTTTTACAGCAATTTCGTAATCTTCGATATCTTCTAAATGACGATAAAGAGCCTCCTTAACATAATAATCCTTTTTTTTGCTAGTAGTTTTTTCCAAATGTTCCAAATGGTCCACTCACTTTTCAGGTAGTTTAACAGTTAAAATTTTTAGTTTTGCCATAGTCTATATTTTAATGTTAATAATTTAATAGTTAACTATATTTATGATTTTAGTCGTTTAAGATAATTCAGGGTCTTCCTCTTTCGGCGGTTCAGGTTCTCCTTCGGGTTCAGGTTCGGGCTCTGGCTCGGGTTCAGGCTCCGGTTCGGGGGCTTCGGGCTCGGGTTCCTTCTCTCCTTCGGGTTCGGGGGGCTCTAATTCAGGGTCTCCTCCTAATCCTCCTCCAAATGGGTCAGGAGTTCCAGGGGTAGGGATGGGGTTGGGTATATTTTGGCCTAATGGCTCGGGGTCTTTATCAAATGGGTCTAATGGATTTACACCAGGGTCGGTTTGTGGTGGCACTCCTTCGGGGTTTCCAACTTTTCGCTCTACCAAGAAATTTCCAATAAACTCCAATTCTCATTCGGCTCCTCGTTGATGGATTGCTATTTTTCCATCTTCGTCCATTCCTGTAAAGTCGCATTTGTCGCTCGCTCCTGTTGAGTAGCCTTGTAAACTTCAACTATATTTAATGCCTTTGGGGATTTGGGCTGAATTGGTTCCATAAGAATATCCGTCAAACTTTCAAGCATAGGTATCATTAATTCTTATGTTTCCTGCGTGAGTTCCTCCTGTAATTAATTCAGGAAATATATCTCTACCACTGCCATCGGCGGGCTTACAGTAGGAGGGTCGGTGATAATTGCTTTTTCAAACTCAACTCATATCATCCACATTTACGGCGTTATCGCGGCCAATTCCTCCTTTTAATCTAGTTCCTAATGTGACAATGTTAAATCCTCCTCTTGTAGTTCCTCCACTACTCGCAATATTCAACGGGCTTTTAATTTTCCTTTTATAAAACTCTTGGGGGTCAGTATCATAAATATATACGCCACTTTCAATCTTCTCTCTAAATCAATCAGCATAAGGGACAGTATTCCAAGAAATTATGCTCGCTTGTAAATATCCACTAACATTTAAAATATCACCAAAAGTCAGAGCATTAAAGTAATCATAAGCGGGTTTTCCTTTTAATTCTTTGCGGTTTCTATATTGGTTAAGTAGGTTTTGGTTAAACTCAATTATTAACTGAACGGGGTAAATGCCAGACAATACTCATCTATGTAGAAACTGATAGCCAGTATATTCGGCCTTGGTATGGTCGACAGAATATAAAGAGGGACGCAAAAAGGAGGAGCCAAGAGAGGGCTTTCCTTTGCCAACGGGGGACACAGCGTTAGACTTGGTTTTTTCTTCTTTATGAGTTGTCGTTCCTGATTTAGTCTTGGTATCACTTATGACGCTTCTTTCAGTCTGTCGGTTTTGAGTTCCTTTTTCATCGTTTAGGGTTGTGTCGACAATAACTTCGATAAACTTATTAACGAACGCATTGCCTCCGACTTTCATGGTTATACTCTCGGTCAATTTACCAACAATCCTATTATTACCATAAATATTAATTGAAGTTCCTGCGGGGTTGACAGTTTCTCATATTTGGAAGGAGTTAAACAATAGCCAAAAATTTCCTTGTCAAAATTGTTTTTGTCTTCAATATAAAGTTCCTTTAATATGGTTCCTTAAAAAATGATACATCATCGGATTAGGACTACCATCACTTTTAACCAAGTCAAATCGTTTTAAAACTTCAATAATACTTTCTCCTGTCGGTTCTCCTGTCGCTCCTGCTATTTTTTTCCAGTCTATACCAATACTGCTTCCTTTTGAGTAGTCAACGCCAGGGACAGGGATATGAAACCACTGCTCGGCGTATGCGTATTTGCCAAGTCGGCTCGAAAGGTTAAAATAGCAAGTTCCAACAGTCGAGTCTCATATGCTATCTCACAAGCCTTTAAAAAATCCTTGGCCTTCTCCTGCCACTTCTTTTTTAGGGTCTTCCACATGTCATAAGTTAAGCGGAGCAACAATGGGAAGTTCTTTGGTTTCAATATAAGAGCCTGTTGTCAATAAGGATTTACTCATCTTATACAATCCCATCTTTAATTTATAAGTAGAGCCAAAAGAATAAAAATTGGTTGCTATATCGTATTCAGGACAAGAACATATTTCCTCTTTTGCTAATGGACTATGGTGTAAAATACCATTGGCACTACTTTTTATCACATACCAATAATAGTTATAAAAGATAGATATTTCAGCAACTACTTCGACTGTGTCAATGTTGGTCTGTTCTCAATCGGCCACTTCAAAAAACTCACCATAGAAAAAAAACAAATAATTTTTAATATTAGGGAAAATAATCTGTTTTTGTTCGGGGTCTTTGGCTACTCTTCAAACAAAAATTATCGTGTCTTTGGTTCGCTCCAAGACTTCAATTTCATAAGTTCTTAATTCTTCCAGTTTTTCGAAGTCATTATCAGTTTTTTTTATGTCTTCTTCTCATTCATCCAATAAATCATTAACGGCTTTTATTGGATAATCTCGATTATCGTTTCACTCTCTTAATTTCGCACAAGTTAAGATTAAATTAGTTCCTTCGATTTTAGTTGTGTCGGCTCAATTGCCTTTAAAGTCAAAAAATCGTTCGTAGATATCACGGGCTTTTTGAAGGTCCTCCAATTCACGCTTACGGACGGCGGGTTCTAATTCTTTAAAGTCGGGGTCTCTTAAAATCTTTATCTTATTATTTATTTCGTTCTTAACTCGAATTAAAAAACTGTCATCCCCTTTTCTTTGTCTTTTAGTCAAATATTCTCTATACTCATCAACAACTTTTTTCTGCTGTTGAATAATGGATCCGAATTCCTTTGTTAAAGTCTTTAAGTAAGTGTTGGCCTTCGGTCAGTTCTCATTATTGCTATTATTTTTAATGAACTTGTATAAGTTGTCATTAGAAAAATAAATATATTGGATGTAGACTTTCATTTGCTAATTATGCTCCTCCTTGGTAAGGAGAAGTTATATAATTAGTTTTTGTCCTTTCTATTTCATAAAAGAGCAATAATCACTCCTAAAATTGCTAATCCTCCAACTATGCTAATACCAATAATTCAGGGTTCCCGGTTGGTCGGACTGCTCTCTCTCTCTCTCTCTCTCTCTCTCTCTCTCTCTCTCTCTGCTTTTAGTTCTTGTAATGATAATTCATTCTTATTAGTTCTAGTTAAATAATTACTTATTTGCTCTTGCTGTTGAGCGGTTAAAGTATTATTGGAGTTAGGGTTATTATACTCAATAACTAGTTTTTCGTTTTCTCTTTTGATAAGTTTAATGTCATTATCAACAAAATATTTTTCCAATTGGTCTAATAATTGAATGATATTTATATTATTTGGTTGCTTGGGGGTTGGGTTATTTGGCTCATCGTTATTATTAGGTCGGTCTTTTTTGGGTTCTTTATTTTCGCTTGAATGTTCTTCATCTCCTCAATCGTTCCCTTTAAAAGAACAATTGGCTCCGTGTTCTTGGCATACTCCAATCTTTTTAGACTCCATTAAAGGTTTTTTGCCAATTAATTTTTTATTTTGGTCGTAATATTCTATTGAAGAGCCTATGGGCGAAGATGGAGAATGTTTACAATGCTTCGCTTCATTCTTACATCTTAATTTTGTTTTTTCTCATGCTTCGGCTTCTAATTCTTTTAAATAACTTTGACAACTTTGGCATAAAGGGTTATTTCCTTTTTGGTCGGGTTCTCGGTGTTCGTTGGGTTCTTCCTCTTCTCCTTTACAATTATTAAAATGTTGGACTAATTCTTGGATTATTTTTTCGTTTACTGTTTGATAAGCATCATTTACTTTTTTTTGGCACTTTTCACATCTAGTTCCTTTTCAGTTTTCTCCTGTTGTAGAATTATGACTAACTGATTTGAAATTATTATTTAACCACTTACTAGCACACTTATCATTGCAAAAATTATCTCCTTTACATATTTTTTTACAATTTAAACAATTATTTATTTCTTTTGACATATTTTTATTTTATTTAATGGTAACACAACTACCGGTTTTAATTCTCCTTATCCTGCGGCCAAAAATCCCCAAAAATTACTGAATGACCTATCAGAAATCAAACAGGTTTCTAAATCAGACTTAAAAGCCTTCCTCGCCCAAGACCATACTTCCTTCTCGGTCCTCTCCGTCTCCACTAAACATATAGAAAGCACCAACCGCATCTCCGTCACTCTCTCCAAAAACTCGGCCCAATCTTTTTATCTCGGTAAGCCAACCAAAAAAGCCTCTCTGTCGGGGTCCCCTTCACCGGACAAACTACCTGACGACTGCCTCCACGACGCCCAAAATTGCACTTACTTCGCTTTTTTTAGTAGTAAAGAAAAAAAACTTTACACGCGCTTCTTAGACAAAATCGAAGCCAATTTCGAAGGCACTGCCGCCACCCAACCCGGTCTCTTCCTGACCCTCACTTTTAACACCACCCACGATAATTATTACTCCTGAACTACCAACTGAGACCCCAGCGATGCTTGCTGGGACACCCTCAATAGTAAGCAAAATTGATTAAAATATTGAGCCCAAAAGATTTTTAACGACCAAGAAGCCGAACTTTCCAAAACTCATATCCATAAAGTTAAAGACAATGTGCAGCAACACACCATAGCCACGCGTTATCTGCAAATTTTCCTCCGCCGCATTCGTCGTTTATGAAAACCCCCTAATTGAAAATGATGCTTAATCGCGGAATTACAGAAAAATGGGGTCTGACATTACCACTTTTTATCAACCCCCATTGTCCCTTATTCCCACAAATGCACCTTAGATAAAAACTTTAAATCCTGTTGAAATTGCCGTGCCTACATCTCTCAACTCTGACCTTACGGCCGAGTCGAATCCCGTTCTCCCGGTAAAAAATCCATCAGCAAATATCTCGCTAAATATTTATCTAAATCCTTCCACTTACGCTCCCTCTATCAGCAACACGGCTTAAAAGAAAATCACAAAACTTACCGCTTTTTTAAAAATCTTTACGATTACGAGCAAAAACCAGCTCTCTTAATTGGCCGCCATAAATTAGACGCCACAACCGGGCAACATTTACCCAAAAATCAGCAAATATTCCGTCGCTATGATTATCAAATTCAACAAACTACTTACTGATACCGAACTAATGAAAAACTGATCGGCCATGTCGCCCAGCCCGTTTTAATCAAAAAAAATTATCGTTTAGGCACCCGTTCTTTACAAACCCAACTGCTTTTAAAACTGGCCCATAAAGCCACCAAAAAGGAGGCTTATTTATGGAAAAAGCCCGCCAAACCAATCCTCCACCAAGATTTTCAAGAATTCTTAATTACCCGTTTACTCCTCTTGTGTAAAAAAGCCGAATTTACTCATATTCCCCTCGAACAAGACCAAGTCCGTAAAGAAAACGGTCACTGCGACCGATTAATTTATACCCATTTTCAAACCAAACCAATCCTCCACTTCCAATTTTTACCCGAACAAGCCCCTATCGTGCGGCAATTTATAGATAATTTGGATAATTATGCGGCCGAGTATGATATGGAGGAAGCACGAGACTTCTACTCTTACCCCATCAACCACGATGCCAAGCACGAAACCACCAAAAAATTAACCGGTCTCTGTGGCTGCGAAATAAGAGCTCGTAACCAATACTTAAATAATTGACAATTAAATTACCCTTCTGACCAATGACGGAGAGCACCAGGCTAAGTTAGAGCACTAACTCATTAGCAATTGCAACACTAATGGGCCACATTTGAGCCTAATCAGAGAAGCCTATGCTTCGCTCTCCGACTTGCGGTGCTGATTAGGTGCTCCGCCTAGCCTAGGTAAACCGCAAGCAAATTTAAATATCATGGTAAAAAATATATCAGTAAATAATTCAAATAAAGCAAGTATAACTCTCCAAGAATTATTGGAGCAACATTTTGGTAAAGACCAAGTAAAAGTAATGAAGTGAAAATGGACGCCCAAGCAATTAAAAGCCATGGAGGAGACCAAGAAAAAGAAAAAAAATCAAAACAAAAATTAAAACGCTAAGCAATTACAATTATGCTAACCGCCATTCTCTTTTTTATCCTCGGAATAATTACTGGTGGACTCATGGTCGTAGGCGGCTGTCTTTACCTAATCAAAGCCAAATGTCCTAACTGTAAGAAATTGAAACCCCTAAGGGAAATAGTGGTCTTTTACTCAAATATCCGCGTCATTAGTGGTAAGTGATGCCGAAAGTGCCAACGACCTAAACCGCAAATAGATATTGAACTCTAATGAACTGAATAACCTCATGACTAAATACCAATCATTAATTACCAAAATCCATCTAAAAACATCCAACCCTTCCTACAATTGTAATTTCAATGAAAAAGAATTAAAAATAATCTTCGAAGCCTTAGAAACTATCCAGTTTTTGGAAATAATTTTGAAAGCCAGAAAATAAAAGTGAGAAAATCATGTATAACCTCCAAAAAAACAATTACCATCTCAAACCTAAATCCTCCACTATTTACACACCCAGTGAAGTCAGCCAATTTATTTATGAATTATTAAAGGATAAATTTCCCCCAAAGAAAAAAAGACCTATTTGCGACCCCTGCTATGGTCAGGGAAATTTGTTAAAACCCTGACAAAAAGCAGGCTATCCCACTTATGGCATTGAAATAGCAGGAAATAGCAAAGATCCAGTAGTCTTAATTCAAGATTTCTTAACTTGGGACGGAATTGATGTTTTTCAGTATCAAGTCAAGCCCCAGTTAGTAATTTGCAATCCTCCTTTTAATGGCTACGGCCAGAAACTAGGCTCCGAAGTCTGGTTAGACAAAATAATCGAATTATTCGGCAAAGAAATCCCACTAGTGCTGTTTTGTCCGGCTGGATTCCGGTTAAACCTGACTCTGAAAAGCAAAAGACGCAGCAAATTTGCTAATGGTAAATATCCCTCCATTAGCAGCATTATTAGTTTGCCGAAAAATATTTTCCCTAGCGTGGTTTTCCATGCTGAAATCCTCATCTTCAACATCCCCAATTTACAACCCCATTATTTTTATCATGCAAAACAAAGTTTTATCGGAGATCAAATTTAAATACCATCTTTACGAAAAAAAACTGTGAAGAATAGAAGATGATTATCTTCGTGAAATCAGTGAAGAAAACCGCCATATTAAGACTGTTCCCTATATCGGCACGAGAATTAGATTTAACTTAGGCCATAATCATTATCTATTTCTTAAAGATGATGATGAATTAGGAACCAGAAAAACAGTTTGTTATATCAAACCCTTAGCCAATGGCGAATATATTCATTATGAGAAAAAACTTGTTTCGGTCTGATTCCAAGTTGAAACCATTATTGAATTTACCGAAGAGGATATTATTGCCAAAAATGCCAAAGATCTAAACCCCAAATAACTCTCTAATCATGATTCAAGAACTCCAAATTAAAACTACTATTTTAGATATTGAAACCAAAACCGATAAAAACAATAACCCTTACTATCGGATTAGTCTATCAGGCTTACTTACTTACTATTTTTACGCTTTTAATTTCAATCTCCCTACTGAAACCTGACAAATACTCACTGATGCCCCTTACAACTTCATTAACCGCCCCGTTCTCATCACTTACGAGGAACTGCCCAACAAAAATAATCAAGGCACTTTTTTCAGCGTTAAGGACATTGAATTAACCATTTAACCTTTTTATCATGGCTGTATACCAGAAATAAGGTTGTATACAATCTGCTTAACCCCTCCTTAACTATGACTTGAAAAAAAGAATATAATCAAAAGCGACAGGCTTATTTAACCCAAAAACAACGCCAACGCCGCCTAAAAATCAAGGACCAAATTACACAGCAAACTCAATCCCAATTTGATAAATATTACGAGGCTAGTAGTATTAAGGTTTTAATAACTTTTGCCGAATATACGGAATTAAAGAAAGGCAAAAAATTATGGTCGGACTTCTCGCACACACTCCATGCTATCCAAGCCGGCGTCAGCAGCATAGTGGAAATTATGAAGTTGCGAGAAATTGCCGAGAATCTTATTAAGGATTATTGAGACACCGCTCACGGAAAAGTCAAAGAGGGTGAACATTGAAATAACCTCTCCGACGACCAACAACGAAAATTAATCCGCTATTGAAGTCGGGAAAAGGTTCGCCAAACAAAACAATTAACTGCTGCCTTGGCCGAACAAGAAAAAAACGCCCAGCAATACGAAAACATTGTCGAACGAGCCAAATTTCATGAAGAACGGGGCAAAAAAAATTGTAAATGCTATTCTTGCCAAGAAAAAAAAGAAATCCAAACCAAAATCAAAAAAGAATGAGACAAGGAGGAACAAATCCAATGAGTAAAAGCCGATTGCGGTAATTGTTATGAATATAAGAAAGTAGATTCGGAGACGGGATTATGCAAAAAATGCAACCAAGACGAATAATCTCTAAAACATGAAAAAAAACAAATGCTTAATAACCAATTGTCTAAAATCTCTCCTCCCCGCCGAATTATATTGCCTTTTCCATTTCCTCAAAAATCAAATCAATAACGGCCTAATCCGTTGTTCTTTTTGTTATCAATATCAAATCCCCCTCAACAAAAATTATTATCTTAAAAATCGTTATCGCGCTAATTTTTGAAACCCGCAATTGCCTAATAAATTTATCTGCTTCACTTGCCTCTATGACTGAAAAGAACTATCAATTAGCTCGCACAAAAAGAAAACTTATTATGTTTACAAATACCGCTATTATAACAATGGAGGAAGCCCATCATCAAAGTAAAAATATAGTCCTATCATCTGCCTGTTATCAGATTTAGCGATCGCTATTTGCCCTTTCGTTAGTCCTTTATTATTATAATAATTACTATTAAATTAAAAAAATAAATAAGATAAAAATAATATGAATTACAAATATTTAACTATCGCTCTTATTGCGGGCGTTCTCATTGGTTATGTCCAAGATTACTGACAAAATAAGGAAGCAACACTTTTAGGATAATATGTTTGCTAAAACTAAAAAGACCGCAGTAAAAAGCCGTCCCAGCCAAGTGGTAAAACCGCAACCCCTTCGTCCTAAATCCCCATCCTTAACTATCACGGAAGCACTAAAAAAGCAAGTCTTTCCACATATCGTTAATGATTTTGCCACTGCCTTAAAATCCTTAAAGCCTGGTGAAAGCATCCGGTTTGGTAAATTAGGAGTTTTTAAAAAAACCAAGCGGATAGTCCAAGGCCGAGTCGGTTATCAGTATAGTTTTAAAGCCCATTCATTAGTCAAGAAATAGATGGCCGCACTAAAAAAACGGGGTCGCCCCCGCAAAGCCACTACTATAACTGCTACTTCGGTCAAGATGGAAAAACCCACTAACGGCCATTTATCCTTGCGGGAAAGCAAGCGCACCATTATTCTCAGTTGAGGCAAGTATTCTATTACTTTGCTCTGCATGACCGCCTTCGCGATTTCTCTCATTCAAAAAATAAAATTCTAATGAAATTACAAAAAAAACATTTGCTAATCGCGATTGCCGTGGGTTGTTTAGTGCTTTATTATTATGGTCCACATAATATCCCTTACACGGAATATTTGCCTGCTATTGGTGGTGGTGCTTACGCCTTAAACTTTTTAACTAATCTCGCTAAATAAAAATTATGTCTTTTACTAAGAAAGAAATCACTCAAAACGAAAAAAATGCTCTCCAAAAACCAAACAGTGGCTTTTTAGAATCACTGGCCGGAATGATGCCGATTTTAACCTTGACTTTTGAACAGTTTACGGGCCAAACTATCCCACCTATGAAAGGCACCTTGGCGGATATGGCGGCCGCTTTACTCCAAATCCAACAAACCCAGCAAACTATTTTACAAAAGATTACGGATTTAGAAAAAAATTGTGCCGAACAATTTATCCACCAAGAACAGCAATTAACTTCTTTACAAAAGGTCAGTTCCTTAGTCAGCACGGAAAAAACCAAAGCCATTCATTTTGCCAGCCCTAATAAGAACGAAATCATTACCAATTAATCATTATGTTTAACGATATCACTACGGCTATTAAGCAATTAAAGACTGAATTAGCCGAAATAAAAAGCCTTTTACAAGAAATTAAACAAATATTAGAAAAAAATGCTAAAAGATAACGAAATCACCCCTTTTAAAGAAACAGTAATTCTCTACACCCTAGCAACCTCCATAATCTTAATTTACGGGGGCTTTGCCTTGATGTGAATTAACACTTTAAGAAATCAAAAAAAATAAAAAACTATGTTTAAATCCAAAAATAATAACAATAATAATAACGAAAACAACGAAAACGAAAAAGACCAAAATAATAACTCCTTGTGAAGTTGAATTAATGGCAAAACTGGCAGCATCGCTATTGGTTTAGCCGCGGGCTATGCACTTTATAAATTTGGTATCCTACAAAAGGTATTAAAAGGCGTAGGCAACATGTTCCGCAAAAAAGATGAAAACCCCGAATCCTCTAATTCTCAATCCACATCTATTTAACCCTTATGAACGCTCCTCTAATTATTAATCCTAATTCTGTGAAATTGCTTTTATGACAAAATGTTTATCCGAATAGTAAAGAGATTTATTATACCTTACAAGTTGGCGATCAACGCTTTATTAGTTCAACTCGCCAAGACAAAAAAGGAGCCACTTATTGGCGGTTTAGGGATTATAAAAAGTCGGTCAAGAGTCCGGTAGAAAACACAGTTTCAGTGCCACAAAATACAATGGAAGTCTCGGCTAGCGCCCCGATTAGTAATGGATAATTATGTGTAATAAGTCAAAATCCGTGAAAGTTTTTCCGGCTCCAACCGCTAAGGTTAAAAAAGCCAAAAACCCTGCCGCTTATTATCAGTGCCTCCTGACGGAAAGTCAGGCAGGATTAGCAGGTCGTCCGATAACCGAACTTTGTCGTAAGTGTAAGTCAAATAGCGTGAATTTAGCCCATAACCGCAACCAACAAATAACTAATTTGCTGAATGCTTATCGACAAATTGGCGAGGCTTTGAGTGAGTTGTTGGTTCCTATTGCCCAATAATGGTGCTAGGATTTAGTTTGCCCGATTGAAAAGGGGCTTTGCAAGAAAGTTTGCGGGATTATGTAAAAGTGCCGTTGGAAACCAAGGCACGAGAATTACAGGAGCAATTAACGAAAAAAGCTGAGGAATTGGGAGCAGATAATCGTGCTTGACAAAAAGCAGTGGTTGCGATATTGTTAGCAAGTTTTTTAGTGGGAGTGATTATATTTACTTGACCG